AGCTGAATATGAGGTGTTGGATATGTGATGGTCAATATGGGGTATTGACTATTAGGTGTTGAATATAAGGTGTTTAAAATGTGATTTTGGGTTTGGAGTATTGATGTTGGAAAGGTTGGACATGGGCTGTTGGACATGTGGTATTGGTTCTGTGTTGGATGTTGAATGTGTTGGATATATGATGTTATAAAATGCTGAATAGTGGGTGTTGTGTAAATAGCGTTGAATATAGGATGCTAAACATGGAGTGTTGAATGTAAGGTGTTGGGTATGGCATGTTGAAAATAGGCCGGACATGTTTATGGGGTATTATATGAATGTAGGGTGTTCATTATGGGGTGTTTAATATGGGGTGTTGAATAAGGGGTACTGAATGTGAGGTGTTGAATATTGGGTGTTGAATATAGGATGTTGAATATAGGATGCTGAATATTAGACATTGAATATGGAGTGCTGAATGTGAGGCATTGAATTTTGGGTGTGGAATTTATAGTGTTGAATATTGGTTGCTGAATATTGGGGTGTTGAATATGGGGTGTTCAATATTGGGCATTGAACATGGGATGTTGAATAATGGGTGTTGAATTTGGGGTGTTGAATTTTGGGCATTGAATATGGGGTGTTGAATGTTGAATATTGATGTTGCTGAATATGGGGTGCTGAATATTGAGTGTTGAATGTCAGATGTTGAATATGGGGTGCTGGAAATAGATGTTGAATATGGGGTGTTAAATATTGGATGTTGAATATGGGGTGTTGAATATGGGGTGTTGAATGTGGAGTATTGGACATTGGGTGTTGAATATTGGGTGTTAAAAATAAGGTGTTGAATGTTGGATGTTGAATATGGGGTGTTATATATTGGATGTTGAATATGAGGTGTTGAACATGGGGTGTTAAATATGGGGTGCTGAATATGGGGTGGATGGATTGGTTGTTGGGTGCGGGCAGGTTTGGCTTGGGCACTCAGCTGGGACATGATTAGTATGTGATTAGTGTCTGTGTGGTCAGGAGGAGCAGAGCGGCGGGCAGCTTGTTGGTGGGGGATTAGGGGGAAAGAAATGAATCATATTTTTAAGTCGTAAGTGCGTCTGTGTCCTCCGCTCTGTGTCTGTCTCCACATGGCCCACGGCCATATGCTGCACTCAGGGATTACCAGCCTTACTGACCAGAGAGGGACATCTCTCTCTCTCTCTCTCTCTCTCTCTCTCTTTCTCTGTCCAGCTCTCTACATCTATCTATCTATCTATCTATCTATCTATCTATCTATCTAAAGCTTTTAGTAAATATTAATAAGCACAAAAATATGGTAAAAACGTATTTGATGGGACTTCGTAACATATGCATAAGCATTGAATAGCATATAAAAAGCAACACTTGAGTATTTATGAGCACCTTGTTAGTAAGTGCGAGGTGGGGTGATACAATATGTGGCCAAAAGTACATAGACACCCCTCCTAATTATTGAGTTCACATGTTTCAGCCACATCCGTTGCCAGCAGGTGTATTAAATTAAGCACATCTCCATAGACAAACACTGGCAGTAGAATGGCTCGCACTGAAGAGCTCAGTGACTTTAAGCTCAGTGGCTATCAGAGGCTGCCACCTTTGCCACAAGACATTCATGAAATTTCTGTCCTGCTAGATCTGCCCTAGACAACCGTAAGTGCTATTATTGTGAAATAGAAGTGTCTAGGAGTAAACGGTAGACCACGCAAACTCACAGAGTACGTAAAATCGTCTATCCTCTGTGGCATCACTAACCACTAACTCCAAACTCTGGAAGCAACATCAGTACATGAACTGTGCACTGGGAGCTTCATGAAATGGGTTTACATGGCTGAGCAGCTGCACACAAGCCTAAGCTCACGATGTGCAATGCCAAGCGTCGGCTGGAGTGATGTAAAGCACTCTGCCACTGGACTGGGGCAGTGGAAACGTAAGAGCTCCTAAACTAAGGATCATTTATAACACTGTTATGGAGCATGTATAAGGCAGAGGCCAAGATAAAAACATCACATGGTGTATCAAGTCTATAAAAGATACACTCAAAGCTAAAATTAAATGGGGAATTTTAATGCACATTTGAAGGCATCAAAATCTTTGATAGATGATTCATGATGTATATGGTGTAGATCTATGCCTGATAAGTTCCGCGACTTCAGAACTTCATAACTGTGTTATAAGTGCAACGAATATCTGTTACAAGTTTGAGTCCCCTTCTGTCAACCCAACGTCATTTATATAATTAAACATTTATGTTTTTTAATGCTTATTGTTAAGTAATGCTAATGCAGATGTTAAGAATTAAGAATTCTATAAATTTTATTTTGTTTCATGATTATCTGTATTTTCGTTTGCATAGGACTTAAAGGGAACTGGAAATACTTAAGCATCTACATTGTTTATTGATGCCAGGATTTTACAATATTTAATACTAATTGCTAATGCTAAATGCTAATGAAATTGATTAATTTTAATATATGTGCAGTAATAAACAGAGCGAATTACTTGTTTTCTTTCTCGTTATTTTTTTACATATGCAAATTTACAGTAAATTACCAGCTACTCAGCTGCATTACTTTTACAGCTGTTCTGTAAAATTATAGGAGATTACTGTATCTTAATTGCAGTGTATTACTGTAATTATACAGCAGAATGCAGCTACATCACAGTAATCTTTTCATGCAGGCGAACGTGTGGCTGTTATTTTACTGTTATTTACCGTTAATATGCTTCAGTAAATTACTGTAACTAGTAGCCAGTAATTTACTGTAATTTTACTGTCAAATTACATTTTATTACTGTATGAATACAGCAGAATGCAGCTACATCACAATAATCTTTTCTTGCAGTTGAGTGTGTGGCTGTTATTTTACTGTTATTTACTGTTAAGATGCTTCTGTAAATTACTGTAACTAGTAGCCAGTAATTTACTGTAATTTTACTGTGAAATTTGTTACAGTGTATGTAAAGAACTGCAGGACAACCAATTTTCATTTTATTAGAAGTCATTTAATATTTTGAAACATGAAAACTATCAAGTCTATCACTGGGAGGACAAAAGCAAACACAAATGGGGGAAAATGCGAAATGAAACAAAAGTTCATGAAGATCAAGAAAGAAAAACACTGATTTAAAAATTATTCATTTATGGCTTTTCATGCGCAACCATAAATAGTGTGGCAGAATAGTGCTGCTACATCTGCAGGCTAAACCCCTGAGTTTGAAAAGAGAAACAAACAAACAAAAACCAAAAAAAAAAACAATCAGAATAAGAAGAGTAAAAAGTTGGCAGTTTTCTAGAAATTAAGAGTCGAGTGAGAGAACGAGCCGGTTTCCTGTGTCGGTGTGACGTATTGCGTATTTCAGACATGATTAGCATTCAAGTACAGCTCAATATTTACAAAAAGAAACAACGACGACAGCAAGAACTCAAAATCATAACATAAGCCATAGATTTCATTTATCGACATCAATAGCATCAATGATCATAATGATGATGGCGATGATGACGTTACTCATTTAGAACAAATTACGATTTTATATTTCAAAAAAACCTCACAGTCGCAAAGAAATGATAAACGTTACAGCCAAGAAAAAGAAAAACAAGTAAAGACAAAGAACAAAGGAATACATGACGGTGCTGCTCTTTCTTCAGGTTTAAATTCTCGTTTCTAGACCAAAAAATCAAAATTTCAAAATTTCAAATTTGACTTTCCACTAAATTTTAACTTGCCAATGTTTAAATTCGCAATAATCACAACTGAACGTTGTTTGTGAATCTCGAATCAGTTCGTAGTCATTTGAGAAAGTTCTAGAGAATGACCCAAGGCAATTTCGCTGAGCTGTTTGATTTGGCCGAGAAATTTTGCATTCCGAGCCGTCAGCTCTTCCCTTTCCAGGTTTCTTAAACGAGCAGTGTTCGGCACCAGTGTTAAGCCATTGAAAATGAATTGAAACAATTTTTTCTTTAATTATCCCCACCCCTTTTTTTTAGAAATGAAGAGGGTGAACGTGAATGTTCTCCCAGAATCTCCCAGAATGCTTTGGAGTCTTTGCTGTGGGAAAGGCCACCCTGTCTAACCATCCATCTGTCCATCCATTCTTTAACTGGACGTACCGTTGTGGTTCATCTCGGTTCACGTGAGCTCAAAAATGTTTCAACTGTCCATTTTTTGAAAAGCAGCATCAAAAATAGACCAAAAATTTGGAGAATTCAAAGAAGATTCTGAAAACAAATGACTTGTTTGTCAACATTGCCAAAACCAAACAATCACCAGAGCATGAGATTACAGGTAGACAGTCTCAGAATCCATCTTGGAGCAGCATTCCCATTAGTGGTTCACCTAGTGGTCACCAAAGAACCTACCTGCCTACCTGCAGTGGTCAGTTCCACCTGAAATCTTGATCCAGTTGGTCCAGATCTTGTGAATAGGTTGAGTTGGATCAAGTGTAGCAGATCAGGGTTTGTAGAAAGGTAGACCTCCAACTAGAAGGTTGGTGACCATTGGTTTGAAGACCCATCTTCCACTCTGGCCAGGCTTTCAAGCCTGTAGGCTTATTCAATCTTTCCTAAGGCTGGACAGAGGTGTTCCTGCCAGTTTTCTCAAGTCTGGTTCACAGATTATCACAGCAATTACAGAAAACAACAAAGTTTATAAAATAAGACAGCAGTTCTTTTTCTTCCATTAGGCTACCCATACTTTTACGTAATAACTCAATAACTTAAACTACAGTGTAATCTTCAGTATGATCTCAATACATATATCTACTATGAATTCGCATATCATCTCCGTACACATATCATAGTGGTAATATTTTTATGTATTTTGAAACCGAAAGATTGTCCTCAAAATGGTAGGCAATATAAGGAATCGTTGTTTGTGTTAAGAAATGAAATAATCAAAGACACAGGTACAACCAAACAGCACAGCCCTTCCGAAATTCCCTTCTCCTTTAAGCCCCGCCTCCTTGTCGTCACCGTCACCGTCGTCCTGCTACAACACCTGGAACTTCCAGGAATTCTGGTCCTTGTAGTCCAGGCAATCGGCTGCATTGAAGTTGAGCTTCCAGGCCGCCTGGTCCTTGTAGTCCAAACAGTCGACGGTGCCGAAGCCGAGGGAGGTGGTGTAGCCCTGGGAGGAGAGGGAGGCTGGAGACTGGCTGAGAGCTCCGCCCATGGAGGAAGCGGTGATGGGGCTGAGAGCGCCCCCGGTGGCGGACAGCTGTGGGTGCATGGGGGAAAGGTACGAGCCGCAGTCCAGGCCGGTGAAGTAGCTGGAGGAGCTGGCGTAGCCCTGGGTGTAGGCTGGAGCCTGGGTGTAGGTCATGGGGTAGGCGGTGGAGCGCTGCATGCAGGGGGTGGTGGAGGCGGACAGGGGGTCCGGCAAGGGCGAGATGGAGGCTGGGCTCCAGATGGACACGGTGGCGCTGGCGCCGCTAGAGCTGGGGGTGATGGCGGTGCCGGGGGCGGGCGGAGCCGGGCTGTAAGGACCGTTAGTGCTGGCGCTAGGCTCAGATGGGGTCTCTCTGGCTGGGGACGCCTTCTTCTTGGGTGGGCGAGGTTTCGATTGGCCGGTGCTCTGCTGCTGCTGCAGGCGACACTTGGCGCGGCGGTTTTTGAACCACACCTGTGGGACGGATGAAGGAAAGATTTTAGCCAAACTGCAAAATCACAACATTCGGTTAACACCAGCAAGGTTTTATCAACCCATAGAACCCATAGAACCCACAGGCAGTCTGCAGGGCTATCTTCTAGGCTTCGTAACTCAGGAAAGGTTTAACTTGTGAACATGGTACACATATCCTAACTTCTTGTATTTCATATAATAGATATTCTAGCCTAACAATTTGCTTTTTTCATAATGTGCACATGCAAAAAAATTAAAAATTGTGGTACCAATTTTTTTTGGCCAAATTCATAAAGATATCAAAACAATGTTAGCAGACACTTGCCAAATGATGACATAACTGAGTGGCCTACACTCTTAGCGTTTATCTATACTATCAAAAAAGGTAGCAGCACCCTTTTGGAACTAAACAGAACCATTTTCAACAATGTTATTGAAAGAACCATATACAACAGAGTTTCTGCATTTAACCATGCAAAGAACCATTTAGGCATTCTAATGGTTCTTTGAGTGCACACAGTTGTATGCATACCCCTTGCCTTTCCTAAAGAACCCTTGAAGAACCAATTTGTAAAAGTGTTGGGTCTCCATATGTGATTATCTCATGTAAATACTTATTTGTAATCGAATAAAATACAAACAAATTATGCAAAATCTGCATACACTCTACAAAACGCGTTCTATATAGTACCAAAAAGGGTTCTTTTGCTTGTAACAATAGTGGAACCCTTTTTGGTGCTATATAGAACCCTTTTTTAAGAGCCCTTAAATCATGCAAAGGGTTCTTTGAGTGTTCATGGTTCTATAGAACCATTTTCTTGACTAAAGAACCCTTGAAGAACCATCTTTTTTTAAAGAGTGTAGGGTTCTAAGTAGAAACCCTAAGTGTCCAGATAGAGTTTGTAGGTATTTAATCAATATTGTAGTAATTAATGTAACACTGTAAGACTTAATTCAACACTATAATTAATCAACTACTTTATGTGTTGATCTAGCAGTTACAGTTCAGGTTCTGGGGTGTTAAAAAGAACCATGATGCATTGATTGGACGGTGGTGATTAATCGATTTTGGAACGTTAGAATCGATTGTAATTGATTATTAATTGACCTAAAAAAGATGGTTCTTCAAGTGTTATTTAGTGAAGGGAATGTGTTCTAGCCTATATAGAACCATTAGCAAGCTTAAATAGTTCCTTGCATGGTGAAATGATTCTTCAGATTGATGGAGAATGTGTTCTAGATGGTTCTAAGTAACACCAAAAAGGCTTCAATTGTGATGATGTCAGGCTTGTAGTAATTTGGTGCTATACAGAAAAAATTTCCAAAAGGTTCTACATAGAACCATATACAACAATTTTCCATCAATCTGAGGAACCATTTCACCATGCAGAGAACCATTTAAGCACATTCTTAAAAAAGATGGTTCTCCAAGGGTTCTTTAGTAAAGACAATGGTTCTATTTAGGACCATGAGTTCTATGCTTTAAAGGTTCTCTGCATGGTGAAATTGTTCTTCAGATTTATGGAGAGTGTGTATATGGTTCTATATAGAACCTTTTTGAAAACGTTGAGCTTGTGACAATAGGAGAACCCTTTTTGGTGCTATATAGAACCATATACAACACATTCTCCATCAATCTGAAGAAGCATTTTACTATGCAAAGAACTACTCGAGCACACTCTTAAAAAAGATGGTTCTTCAAGGGTTCTTCAGTAAAGGCAATGGCTCTATTTAGAACCATGAGTTCTAGGTAGAACCATTTCATGCTTAAACAGTGAAATGGTTCTTCAGATTAATAGAGAATGTGTTGTATATGGTTCTATATGTAACCTTTTTGAAAACGGTTCTGTATAGCACCAAAAAGGGTTCTTTTATTGTTATAAGCTTGACGCTTCTATATGGAACCTTTCTCCATCAATCTGAGGAACCATTTCACCATGCAAAGAACCTTTTGAGCATGTGTGTAGTACTCATGGTTCTAAATAGAACCGTTGGCTTAACTGAAGAACCCCTGATCTTTTTTAGGAGTGTTGTTTATAGTTGACTCCCTGGCTATTCTGTCTATGTTGCACTGCTGATTGAACAGCTTTGCCAAAATTATAATCAAATTATTAAACGTGATTCGAGGTTTCATGACGCACCGAATCGTCGGTTAATCGAACCGGTTCATACCGCACCAAACCCACCTGCACTCTGGACTCCGGCAGGTTGATTTTAAGCGCCACCTCCTCGCGCATGAAGATGTCCGGGTAGCGCGTTTTGGCGAACAGCGCCTCCAGGACGTCCAGCTGCGCGCGAGTGAAGGTGGTGCGCTCGCGCCGCTGCTTCCGGGGCGTGTCTGAAAGCAAAAACACGCCTTATATAACGGGGGCACTCGGGGGTGGGAGGGTGGATTAAACAGCCTAGAGAAGTGAAATGGAAAAAAAAAATATATATATATATATATATATATATATTTATACATTTTTCAAAGACAAATGACTTGGCTTATCTGATGCCCTATACAGCGCGTGCATTGTCCGTATCAGCGCATTTGGGAAGCACCTTGGATAAAAGCTGTTGACAGTCAACAAAAGTGTTGCCCAACACGGTGAATAATCCGGGATCTATCAGTTATGAGCTCTAGATTACTGAAGGTCCAGCAACACCAGTGAAGTCTCCAAAAAAACGGGTTGTTCTGTCTAGACTACATTTCCGCCTCTTGTTCACTTCTTTTCAGGCTACAAATGACATTTCTGGTTCCGTTCAGAGTTACAGTAGAGCCTGTTACATGTTTGAGCGCAATAAAGTCAGCTTTAAAGTGTTAACTTCGTCCTTAAAAGTAAGCAAAACCAACACAAACCCGCGCTATGATGGATCTTACCAAGGGTACCAACCAACCAAGTGTGAGTCTTTTCCAAAGGCACTTTTGGAAAACCCCCCATTTCTTCACCCTCCACTCCTGTTATCACCTTCCCAATCACATATCCTGCACTTATATCCACCATATGCAGCTTTATATGCACCACTGCGTCCTCACGCCTCGCATTACCGCCGTGCGTAAAAGCGCACGATCCTCCTGCGCCAAAACACCACTCTAACGGCCCAAACACTGAACAGGGGGGCTTCTAAAGGGTCTGCAAGGTCATATGAGGAGGAAAAGCAGGTAAAAAGACTTACTCTGATATCCCACGGCGGAGTGGAGGAGGTCCATGCCCGGGCCAGAAAGCGTTAACCCGTTCACCGCGTAATGGGGCTGCTTAATGTAGGACATCATGCCTGCACTGCCTTTAAACGCTCTCTCTCTCTCTCTCTGTCTCTCTCTCTCTCTCTCTCTCTCTCTCTCTCTCTCCCTCTCTCTCGTGGGCCGGGTCTTCCCTTTGCCTCTCTCTCTCTTCTCCCTAGAGATTCTTTCTCTCCTTTCTCTGCCTCTCTGTCTCTTTTTCACTGTGCGTTGTGCGTCTTGCGCTTTCCGAAGCCCCTTTTTACGCGCGCTCCGAGGCTGCTAATTCGAGCTTCTCTTTTAAGAGCTCGTGACGCACGCTCCCTCCTGATCTCTCTGAGTTGACTCTGGCGTTGAGGAAGCGCGTGCAGATGCACTCCGGGCACTTCAGTGTAGTTGGGAAACAGGTGCGCAAAGGCGCAAAGGGTAATAGACCAGGAGAAGTAGGCTCAGCCAATGGGGGTCTCTCTAAAGTCTGGTATCTCTCTGGTCTCTATCTAGTCTCTTTCTGAAAAGACGCAGCCTCTTTCTGGTCTCTGTTCGGGCTCTATCTGGTCTCTTTCTGAACCGATACAGTCTCTATCTGGTCTCTCTTTCTAGTATCTATCTGGTCTCTCTCTGGTCTCTCTTGTTTAGTCTGTTTCTGGACTATCTCTGGTCTCTGTTGTCCTGTTTGATTCCGTCTCTCTCTGGTCTCTCCAACTCAGTCTGGTCCGGTCTTTCTTCTTTGGTCTCTGACTGGTCTCTCTTTCTCTCTCTCTGGCCCAATTCTTATTTGGGTCTCTTTCCAGTCTCTCTCAGTTCTGGTGTCTCTGGTCTGGTCCGGTAGATATTTCTCTGGTCTCTCTCTCTCTGGTCCGGTGCACTCTGATCTTTTTCTGTCCTCTTTCTGGTCAAGTTCTGGTCTCTCTCTGGACCGGTCGGGTCCGGTCTCTCTCTCGGGTCTGCCCTAGTCTTCCTGCAGTGTAAAGACGCCGAGTGTTGGCGTGTTGGGACGGAGCTGAAGACTGAGAGCAGAAGAGGAAGAGGTTGGCTAATTAGAGACAAGTTCTTACGGAGTGGACACAAACCCCTCCCTCCACTCCCTCTCTCCTCCTCTCCTCCCTCTCTTCCTCCTCCTCTCCTCCTCTCCTCCTTACCCTCCCCCTCTATCTCACACACACCCTCAGCATCTTGGCCTGCTGGCCTCCAGGCATTCCACTCTTCATCCTGGTCGGGTCAGTCTGCCAGTCTGAAAAGTCACCAGCCTGTTTGTCTGTGCTGTCTGATTTGAAGAGTGTGCTAAAGGGGCAGAGTGGCAGGACAGAGCAGGAGGGCCTGGTCGAGGTCTGGAGGGCCAGGCTGGACAGAAGCAGGTGCCGGTGTGAGAAGATGAAATGCTGAAACCCAACTTGTTTGCACGCCCGTTTAATTCCAAGAAGGAAAAGAAAAAAAATCTCCCACATATTTGGATTAGACAGAAACCCATTTCATTACTGGAGCCCAGCAGTAATTGGGCTGGAGGTGGAGGTGATGAGGGGGGATTAAGACCAACACAAAGGCAGCCTTGTCCTATTAAAATCCCAACTTTATCCTCCACATGCTCCCCGAGCCCTCCGCCACAACCCCCCAAAACTAGCATTATTACTAATGTTGTTATTATTATTATCATTATTATTATTATTATTATTGTTATTATTATTACTGATGTTGTTGTTATTATTATTGTTGTTGTTGTTATTGTTGTAAACACTTTAAAAACGTTTTCATAACTTTATCATGCACAAGATCCCTGACTCCTCCACCACAGCCCCCAGAAATAGCATTATTATTATTATTATTATTATTATTATTATATTGTTAATAATAATAATAATAATAATGATAATGATAATGATAATAATGTTGCTGTTGTTGTTGTTGTAAACACTTGTAAAACTTTTTAGTAACTTTGTCATGAACACGCTCCCCGAGCCCTCCATCAAAGCTCCCCAAAACTATCATTATTATTATCACCATCTTTATTATTATTACTGATGTTGTTGTTATTATTGTTGTTGTTGTTATTGTTGTAAACACTTTAAAAACGTTTTTATAACTTTATCATGCACAAGATCCCTGACACCTCCACCACAGCCCCCAGAAATAGCATTATTATTATTATTATTATTATTATTATTATTATTGTAAATTGTTTTAATAACTTTGCTCTTTACTCCTCCACCAAACCCCATAAAACTAGCATTACTAATAATCCCATTAATATAATATAATATAATATAATATCATATAATATAATATAATATAATATGATATAATACGAGTTAATACAATTAATACCATTCGCCAAATGGAAATTAATACAATTAAACAGGCCAAATACCCAAATACTACTACTACCATAATAATAATAATGATAGTAATAGTAATAAAGCTAATTCGTTTTGTTAGCAGTATTACAGATTATTATTATTTATTTATTATTATTTTTTATTTCCTCTGCTGCTTTGGTTGTTGTTGATCGCCTCTCATTTACGTTTAAACTTTTACATTTTACTACGAATACTTTTACAGAAATAATAATAATAATAATAATAATAATAATAAGTGAATATTAATGTGCAGGTGAAGAGCGCGAGACTGTCCGGGGACTTTAAATATGAACCCAAATAAAACTCTTATTCATTCATTCACACTGAAACATTTCACTTTCCAGTTTGTGTCTAACTGAAACCGAATTTGGGTGCTTTTATTTAAACACTTATTAAAGGAACTGGAGACTCGCTTAAACCCGTGTGTGTGTGTGTTTGTGTGTGTGTGTGTGTGTGTGGAAGCGGGCCAGAGCGCGCGCACAGCGTGAGCTGCGCTGATAGAAATGAAACATTTTTCATTTCATTTTCTGAAGTTCGTCCTTTAAAAGACAGTTTAATGAAATGAAGTGAGAACTGAAAGAAAACGAATCTGTTTATTTATTTATTTATTTATTTATTTATTTATTTATTTATTTAGCTTTTTCATCTCCTTCTCTAACACCCCTCAGAAATCTCTTTAGATGACGACCCATATATAAATCTATCAGATTTAATTCTATATTTTTGTATAGGTGTGTAACAGCAGCAGCGCGTTTACATTTGTATTTAATTCGGTTTCCGTGTTTGTTCTGTTCTCACCGTGTGAATCACTGTGATTTAATCAGACCGGGGCGTTTAGGCTGTTCGTAAAACCTCGGAATAATTCGCGATGTTTCGTTGCGTGAATAACTCTGTATTTTAATGCGGTCATATATTCAAATGATATAAGTAAACAAAACACTGGTACAGCTCAGTTTTAATTGTTATTTATTTATTCCTTTGTTTTAATGTTATTATCGAGAATTTACTCTTAAATAAACAAGGTTCTTGGACGTAATGTTCTAGGAAAACTCTTTAATGGGTGTACGGAGGTTCTTTAAACTTTTAAATAGGTTCTTTACTCTCAAATGGTTCTTTCATTGAAAGACTCTGAAAATGAAATTCTTTAGAGAATCAAAAAAAGCTTAGTATTATTATTGTTATTATAGCGCAAGTATTAAAGTCGTATTAAACTATTATCATATACAGTATTTTAAATAACGACTTATTATAAAAGTATTTTAGTATTGTTATAAATAATCACAATAGAACTGAGTCCTGCTTCAGTTTTTGCTCTATTAATAGTAATAACCACGTTCTTAAACAGTTATTACCAACGGTACTAACATTCTTATTAATAGCAATAGAACACAGGTTCTTTGAGCGAACCCACCTTTGGTTCCTTAAAGAAAATGCTTTGAGAAAGGTTTAAAGAACCCTATAAAGGTTCTGTTTCAATTCTGAAGGTTCCTCCTAAAACATTTACATTATATGGAGGAACCTATATATTAAATATTAATACTACAAAAATGGTTCTCTAAAGAACCGACGATGAAACAGTGTAAGGGAACCATAACGGTCTCTTCTATGGTCTCTTCTACAATAATAAATTAATAATGTTAATAATATTATTAAAGCACTCTTAAAGGTTGACTAACATTGAGGCATTAAATGTTATTATATTATTAGCAACAGTATTAATGGAGTATTATTATCAATAAGATTAGAATTAAAGCACTTTTAAAGGTTTAATATTAATAATCATAACGATGACGGCTTCTTAACATTCTCCGTCTCATTATAATTAATAGTGCTCCTGTAATTTTGTACAGTACTCGCAGCTTAGATTAATATTAATTAATAATAATCGCAGTAGTAATATTCTTATTGGACCATTATTAATACTTCCAGTATTGTTCTTACAAATCAATAACACTAGTAATGTTATTACATACTTGTACATTGGTTTTACTAACAGTACTGGTATTAAAGTATTAAAGTATTCTATTAAGTATTTTATTACTGATACTAGCACGACTGCATTCTTAAAGTATTGTTGTTATTGCTGGTAGTAATTACAGCATGTTGAAAGTATTAAAGTATTTTAATAGTGATAATTGCAGTAATAAAGTGTGTTAGTGTCATTAATATTACTACTAGTAATAAAGTGTTCTTAAAGTATTATTAGTAGTAGTAATAGAGGTTTTTAAAGTATTCGTTGTAGTAATGCAATGTTTCTTAGAGGGTCAATAATGTTAGTAATAGTGTTTTAGAGTATTAATAATAGTAGTAATAATGTGTTTCTTAGAGCATTTATAACAACAGTAATAAAGTGTTTCTTAGATTATTAATAGTAGCAGTAATAAAGTGTTTCTTAGAGTATAAATAACAGTAGTAATAAAGTGTTTCTTAGAGTATAAATAACAGTAGTAATAAAGTGTTTCTTAGATTATTAATAGTAGCAGTAATAAAGTGTTTCTTAGAGTATTAATAGTAGCAGTAATAAAGTGTTTCTAAGAGTATAAATAACAGTAGTAATAAAATGTTTCTTAGAGTATTAATGGTAGCAGTAATAAAGTGTTTCTTAGATTATTAATAGTAGCAGTAATGAAGTGTTTCTTAGAATATTAATAGTAGCAGTAATAAAGTGTTTCTTAGAGTATTTATAACAATAGTAATAAAGTG